ACGACTCCAGCGATCGTTGGATTGGTTTCGATATGCGATTCGACTTTCGCCTCGAAATCAACTGATTTTCGTCCAAATTCGGTGACAACGACTGGCCGTTCAGCTCGTGAGTGACGGTCTTCGTGGCAGTGGTGCTCGCGAGGGGACAGTCGGCTAAGACCGACAACTCATTGTCGCAAACGCTGTCATTGTTGTCATTGTTGTCGAGCGAGTGGTTAGGCTGTGGTGTCGGTCCGTCGTTCACCTCTTCATCGCCGTGTTTGTGGTGATGATCACCAAAATCGCCATCACTTTCATTGCTGTCCGACCCATAAGCGAGTGACAAATGGCGCCAAAAAGTCGTGTAAATCGCGATTCAATTCATTTGATTTGTAAATAAAGTGATGAAAATGGCGTCAGAAGTGGTGTTGTCAGCGATGGTTAGCCTAAGAACTCACCCGAACTGAGACCAGTTGTGCGACAGACCATCCAATCGTCTCCTTTTTGGCATTTTCTTCATACGATTGCAATGAATGTGCAAATCATATGTGAATCACAATCACAATCGTAATGTGTTTTAAGTAATCATTGCATTCATGCTATGCTTTTGAGCCCAAACTCACAACTGTTTGGCTCTGTTTTGCACTCAATTTGAGTGACGTTTTCAATGCAAACAAAACATTTCTCTCTCACTCTCTCTGTCTCTCACTTTTTCCATACATTTGCAGCACTAATGCTGTACTCTCTGTGCTCTCCAAACGCACATCACTTGACAAAGTTTGCGATACTTTTGCCGCTATCTATGCACGAGAAATGTTTCCAACACTTTTGGACACACTTTTATTTCTTTAGTTAACTTTTAATTTTTCCTAATTTACATATTATTCATGTAATTTTCACTTCATTTATTGCTTAATAGTAGTGTCAGTCTTATGATATAATCATAATTATCTGTTTTAGTCAAACGTTGTATAGTTTTCTATCGGGTTATGTATTTGTGAACATTTTTCTGAATCATATTTTTTAAGTTGTTGTAAAAATGTTTGTAATTCTTGTGTAATATAAAAATAAATTAGTAAATACTTTATTGACTTAATTGCTACTTTAATTACTTATGAATAATGTTTTATTAATTGGGTTTAAAGAATTTTAAGATATTTATTATAACAGTTAATTTGTGTCAACAATTTAGTATAATTCCGGTATTTATAGTTATTCTTGTAATTTCTATTAGATATTAATATAATTCAATGATTTAATGATTTAATTTATTTCTTTGCAGCCAGTCATAAGAAATAACAATGATTCACCAATATTATTTCATTATTTTATTGTATTAAATATTAAACTGGGTCATATCACAAATATATTTGTCTTTATTAAGCGAAAATAAAATGTTTTGTTTAAATCTTTATAGTAACTAACTTTACAAAAAGAATTTAAAATTTAAAATAATAAAGTTAAAAATTTTATAAGCACTGTACTGTATGTAGATCATTTAGGTATTCAAGGAATAACTAAATTATGAAAATCATTACAAGTATTAATAGTCAAAAATATTATACTTATTATTTAACTCAACGTTCAATTGAGCAGCATCTATTGAGAAATAAATGTACCAGGCAATTATATTGAGAATAACGAATCAACGATTCTTAAATTCTCCTTTTATATTATATTAATAATAATATTACCGTATATTATACATGTAAAATGTTATGAAAATAGGTGCGAGTACATAATCTCTAACGTGAACGCATATTACTATCTAAATTATATGATTATTGTACTTTTTATTATGTTTTGTCCCTTTTGGCCATAAATTCAAACACATTTCAGTTATTGATTTACACTTTAAAGAATAGTCAATAGAAAGTATTTTTAAATTTTTGTATAAAAATAATCTATAAAAATTTATTTTCATTTCACAACATAACCAATTTTTATAAATCTAAATATTATTTTATATGTTTAAATAAATAATTTAGTAATTCCGTGTTAATAATAGATATATTCATTCATTTATTTTAAAATTCTTTCAATTTTAATTATTTTCAGTTAAACTGTACAATAAATATACAAATATTTTTTATAGGTTTAAATTCTTTGAAATGTTATATAAAATAAAATTATATTGGCGAATTCATACAATAATTTGTCATATTTAAAGTAAATAACTCAAATTAGTATTTTATATTCAAACTAGACTTTCCATTTACACAGTGTATAACAAAGTAAAACACGAATTGATACATGGTGTACAATTGAATTGAAAACACAAAGTTATTTAAAAACAATATTTACATAACTTTCAAGACATTTATTATATATTGACTCTAATATTCGTGGAGTTCTGGGTTTTGTTAAAATAAATAAATAAAGATTTGCGGTTAAAAGTGGTGTAACAAAAACAGGGGAGACTTTGAGACATTGAAAACAGAGACATAAACCGAGTCCGCAAATACTCCCGATATAACTAACGTTATAGTGGATCAACGCGTGAAACACCGTAAATACATCACTAATTATACAAATACACACCAAATCATACATCATTGGACGTAAAACAGTGTCAAAATCAGTGGCATTCATGATATATATAAAAGTTTATAAAAACTGTTTATACATTTCTCGTGTCTTGCTGTTCACCACAATGTCAAACGATAGACAGAATATTCTGTGACTGTGTTTGTGTTGAGAATATTCTGCGAGTGAGACGAGAGACAGGGCTTTATAAATATAGTGACTCTTATTGTTTTAGTTTTTAAAACATGCTTGTATATTAAAATAATTTACATATTTATACGGAATTTTGTGACTTTTTCTGAATGAATGCTAAAATCTCTTTCATCACAATAACAGACTAACTATAAAAATATTATTTCTGTATTTTATTTGTTTTTGAGTCTTAAAATGTCACGGATTGTGACATATTTTTACGAGAGAGTGAGAAATAATCTACATTTTTGTGTCTAGTTTTATATGTAATTCTTAGCCGAGAAAATAATAAAAACTTTATTTATATATTAGTTTTATGTTGTGTTTTATGTAAATATTGCTTAATATATGACTTCGCATTTGAACATTAATTCCAAGCACTCAGTCATTATTGGCTGTGGCTATGGATTATAATAAAATATCGGTGTTTACTATATTATAACATAGTATTGGAATAAATTGTACCGAAAGTAACCAAATGACAAGAATTAACAATTTTATTATCAATTCACACCTCTCTCTCTCTCTCTCTCTTTCTTTCTCTCTCTCTCTTTCTTTCTTTCTCTCTCTCTCTCTCTCTCTCTCTCCACTGATAAATGATATGAAATTACTTTTAAACCTCATAATTAGCTATCATTAAAACGAGTAAAAATACTAAAACCTAAAACATAAACAAATAATTGAATTAAAAATTAGATTAAATCGTGAATACGGAGTCAAACAAACAAAACTGAATCTAAAAACTAAAGCATTACTTAAATAATTATTAATTCACTAAATTATATACATTTTGTTTGCGCATAGAAAATAACATTTTAATCAAATTACAAAAATACTGACTAAACATATCATTAAAATTATAGATACTTTTCATAAGATTATTATGGAGTGTAGAAACGACTGGACAGATAGGCCGGTGCGATGGTTGGGCACAAGTAGTCTGGAGTGGTTAAGTGGACTCAACCTAACGGTTTTGGTGAACAGCACTCGACCTACGGAACTCATATTAACCCAACTGACAGTGGATGTCGACTGCGGTTACCCTGATATACCTCTTAATGGCAATTATAGCCGGCAATGGATGAACGCTATCTACGACTGTAATACCGGTGCTCTGATAGGCGATAGAAACGTCTCGTGTCTATACAATGGCCAGTGGGCTAAACCTCAATCAGTGCCCAAATGTTGTTTGGGGGACGAGTGCACGGGTATGTGTGGAGCTACAGCTGTTTTTTACTCTTTAATTATTATAATTTTGTAATTAATTAAAATTTATTTATCTCTATGTTTGCATAAAACAAATTATAGCCATCATTGAGACACACGATATTAATAGCAATACTAATAACTCAATCGTAAATATCATTATAATTGTGTTGTTGTCGGGCGCTGTCGGTATACTAACCGTCTTATTAGTGGTACTATACCTGAGGTCTCGGAGGCGACAAAACGTGGATATTATTAATAGATTGCAATCAAAGTCCAGGTACTGGTATGACATGATTTTATTTGTCACTAGATTTGCTAAATTGATAGCAAATTAATTTTGAAAAACTAAAAAAACATTTTGTCTCGAAACCTATTTATAAAATGTTTGATAACTTTTTGAGTGAAAATTATTTATTTATTTTTGATGTCAAACCTCGCGAGCAGTGATAACTCATACGACGACATCGAGTTAAATGGAGACCAAACTTACGACCACTTAAAACAACCCGATTTTTACGATTCAGTGGGCGATACCTACGATGGTGTGGATAATGCCTACCTGTCCACACATAGGGCCCGACAGACTATGGAAAATGGCTATCAGTTGAGCTTTTATGACAATACCCGACAAAATCCCGATGTGTTTGACTTGAGACGGATGTCGATGAGGGTAATGATGAATGAAATGGACGGGCAGTACATGCAAATGGATACCTGCGATGACTACTTGGAAATGACTGTCAAACCAGTGGTGACCACAAGTATTACAGTAATTGGTAGTCAATTAAGTCTTAATAAATATACGGAACAAGGTTTTCATAAGTCTTAATGTTATTTGTTGTTTAAATTATTTGTCCCTGTTAATGATTTAAGTCAACTTAAACTTACTTATAGTATATTTATTAATTATTTACAATCTATAAAATAATTAAAAAACTTTTAATGATATGTTATATTAATTACTGTCTGAGTAATCATTTTTAGTATTTTGATTAAAATTTTATTTAATATTACTTGTTATTTATTATTATTTACTATTATTTTTAGTATTCATCAATAGTTTTGTGTTAATTTCACCAATAAACATTACACAAAATTACACATTAAATTAGGAATTAACTTTTAAATTAGTAATAAATATAATTATAAATATTTTATGATTATAATTAAAATGTATTTTTTGTTTGTTATTTAAATATCCTAATGTGTATCATTAATAAGTAATAATTCTTAGTTTTAAAAGTCAATTAAAAACATTAATCTAAAAATAATTGATTTATATATTAAAGTCTAAACATTTTCTAGTTATATAAGAAATATAAAATACATAAAAGTTTATTTCACACTTTGTGTGTGTTACATTTAAATAACATTAAATAGATTATATAATAATGTTAAATATAGTATTTTTATTTCAAACAATTTGTAATACAGTATAATAATATTAAATTATGTTTTACAAAGTATGTTCAATACTTGTATACATCATCTCAAGGATAATGCAAACAAATATTTTATGTATTATTTAATACATAATACATTATATGAATTTATTTTTAGAAATGTCATTTATGTATAAATTAAAATTAAGTACCAATTATTACCAGTATAATTATTATCTAACTTATTAAAACAAGTTTCAATACAGTATTTCATATGATTTACTAATTTCAATAGTGTTTTAATGGTAAGCATAACTTTATAACAATATAATAATTAAATATGTATGATTGGAAAGTAAAAAGGCCTCTAAATATTTTTTTAATGTGTCTAATATTCACACGAATATTTAGTAAGCAATGTGTAAGGGGAAAACCTACAAATAGACTCAAGCACAAAAAGAAATACAAGTGTAAATAATTTTGGAGGCCTTTTTACTTTCCAATCATACATATTATATACATTTTTAATTAATAATTTTGTTATACAGGTATAATAATCAAGTATGAGTTCAATTGGAAATTTTAGATGAGATAATAATAAATTGATTGTAAGTTTTTATTAAAAACTAAGATTATTGGTTCACATTTTTTGGTTCATTATAAATTATAATTATAATATCTCACAAAAATTATTATTTGAGCATGATGCTTAAGTATAAATATAAGATTATTTTTATTAATGTAAGTTATTTAATTTTATTACAAATTGATATATATTAATAAAAATGTTTGGCATTTATTTGTTGGTTTTAATTGCGATATTAATGAAGTGGTCAGGGATTCAAGATATTTCACGTGAAAAGTAGTGTACTTTTTATTACAAAAATTTTGTATTATATTTGTTTTGTGTTTAAATAATTTTATGATACTTACATTTTGATTACATGTTTACGATTTATTTATATAGTCACGAGTCGTTAACACTTGAATCGTATTTAAGAAATGAACATAAATTTCCGTATTATAAGTATAGCACCGGTATGTATTTTATAATAATATCTTATGTATGTAATAAATATGCTGTCTTATATTTCAATTAAATAACTATTTGTAAACTAAATGAATGTAAATCTAAAATTCATTTACTATTTACATCATAAATAACAAACCCGTCATAAATGGGAGTGAAGTGTATTGAGTACTATATTTTAAAAAAGTAAAAAACTTTATTTTACTTTTGATGCCATTTACTAACACTTAAAAACCGGATTTTAAGTTTTCCGTTGAAAACAACGCTAAAACAGTGAAACTATTTGCAAGTTTACACTTTTACGAAACTAAATAATATTATAACAAATTATATTCAAGGTCTTTCAGTAGAAATACTTGTCATTACATCTCTGCGAAGACTTGTTTTTGAGACAAAAGTGTTTCTAAAACTCCAAAACTATTCACTCGTTCACTGAATCCATGTATTCATTGGCGAAGACATTGCTAACTGTGAGTCTTATAGTGATTGACAGACAACGAGATCACGATTTACTCGCGAGTCGGACCACATTTGACGTCCAATACGACTATGTGGTGGTGGGGGCGGGCAGTGCCGGGTCGGTGGTGGCCGCCAGACTCACGGAGAACCCGCACATAACGGTGCTGTTGATAGAGGCGGGTGGGGCCGCCACAGTCGTCTCGGACATGCCGGCTATGACTAAGTCGTTGTGGGGCTCACACATGGACTGGAAGTTCCCGATTAGCCGTCAACCCAACGCGTACCGGGGCTATCAGGGTAACTACGGTACCTTAAGCCAGGGTATGGTAATAGGCGGCTCTTCCACCATCAATGCTATGGCTTACGCCAGAGGGTTGCCCCAGGATTTTGATGATTGGGAAATGGAGTTCGGACTTAAAGGTAATTATAATTATTTTGTGTAACTTTTTTGTGACCATATTTTTTGTGTTCATTTACAAAAGGCTGGAATTGGAGCCAAGTTTTGCCGTATTTTAAGCGCTCGGAACAGAATAGAGACCACACTTTGAGTGACAGATACCACGGCTTTGATGGTCACCTGTCCGTCGAGACCATAGCTAATCCCCGACTAATACATAGGACAGCCATTAAAGCCGCACAACAGTTGGGATATAATGAGATAGACCTCAACGATCCAGAGAGTAGTACCGGTGCTGCTGTCCAACAGATGACTATTAGGTTTGTTAAGTAAAGTTTATTTTTGTATTTTTAAGATTTAATGTGTTTTGAATTCAATGTTTAAATCGTGTTTAGAAATGACAAAATGTTTTATGCAATTAATGTCAAAAGGGTTTTATTTTTTAAGTACAAATACTTGTCATTGTTTAGCATTTAGTTGACTTAATGTAAGGAATTTTTGTGTTAAAAATAGTCAAATATGTTTAAAACATGCACTTTATCTAATGTATTATCATTTAATCTTATGAAAAATAATTCACGAAATAGATAACACTTTTGAAAAGAGTTACAAATAATGTAAACTATAATAACTCTTCACAAATAGACAATTAATGTATTTTAATCCCTTATTTCAAATACAAAACCTGTGATTGTAATCTAAATCAGAAATAATTTTGCCAAAATTTAATGTATTTTTTTCACATTAACCGCAAATACTCTTTTTAAGTGAAAATTTATTTATTTATTTAATATTCTGTTACATTTCACTTAATTACACCAATTTATTACATTTTATATCACTTTAGAGATCTTTTAGCTATACTTTTTTTAAAAGTTCAATATAAACCTCTCTAACAGTGAAAACTAGTTTTTAATATACAAATTGAATTTTATTTATAAATAAATAAATTAATTTTGAGCCCAAAATTAAGAAAAATATAAAAGATTTAAATAAATTTAAATAAAGCCCATAATTTACTTATCATTTAAAATCACAAATCACTTCAAAACACAAAATGCTTTGAAA